GAACCGCTCCATAATTATTTCACATCATCTTTGGAAGAAATTTAAATATATATTGGATGGATTAATTGCATTGCACAATCTCGCTTTCAAACATAAGTTATTTTTTATGGTCAACACATGCGCGCATGTAGGGGCTTCATCACGTTATACATTTATGGTTCAATTAATATCCAAAACGTCTATTTTTGTTTTTCAAAAAAATTATATTATTTGGAATCAATTACAATTAAATTAGATTATAATTAATGGTTTCATTTATACGTCATTTAATTTTTGAAGGGTCGATCCAAACAAAATCTTATTCGAGATTACTAAAAATATAGAATTATTGTAATGCCATGTGTTGCCGGTCAAGATGCCAAATGATTATATAAGTCATACCCGAATAATATTATGGTCAGCTCAATTACAAACTCTTTATATCGATTATTATTTTAGTCGTCGAAATAAAATTTTAAAGGGTTATAATGTTTTTTATACCCGTAATTTCTTTTTAATAGATTTTTTATTATTATCATATTCATATTCAGACTTCTCATCTTCACTCTTTAAAAAAAAAAATATTTTAAGTTAAAAAATAAAAATACAATATATATCCACATGCTTTCGGGATTCTGGGATTTAGAAAAATCGTAGATTTTATTTTCTAATTTAAATGTTCGGGGTTTATTTGGTTCCAGATGAACGTTTGGGGTGAGAAAGGAATTTATCCGTAAAAAAGAGGCTTTAATCACAATAAGAGAAACTTTTTTGACGGCACGTGAGTATCACATGCTCTTCTTCCTTCGCTCAGAGCCATTCCGAACTTCTCGAAGACCGCCATCGAGGGATCATAGAAAATTAGAAATCGCTCCACCCTCCGCCGGTTCTTCCGCCGGATTTTAGCCGAAGAAAAGGAATCGATTGAGCTCAGTATTCTGTAAGTTTTCGTTAGAAACGATGAGAATTACTTGCAAATTTCGAAAAATTTCCTAGGATCCTAAAAGTTTCTGTTAGGACGATGTTCGATTCCTTTGAAGGCATTGATTCATCCATATTCAGGAATATGATTCGATCATAAGTTTACTCCGATTTGGACGAGGTGAAAGTTTCGTGGCTATGGAAGTGGATGTATTGAGATTTACTAGGAATGGTTTCGGAATCTGGGTTTTGTTCATTTGGATCTCCGTCATCGGTTCCGTGTTTTCCCGTACGATTTCAATGGATCCGGATCCATGTGATTCCAACACCGAGATGGAGTTTTACAAACTGAAGCAGGATCAGATCACAGTGCTCATCAATGGTTACTCTGAATCACGCATTCCTCTTCTGCAATCCATTGTAGCTTCGTATTCTGCCTCACCAATCGTGTCATCCATCTTAGTCCTTTGGGGTAACCCTAGCACACAAGCTCAAGTACTTGACCAACTATTCCACAATCTCACTCAGCATTCGCTTGGTACGGCTTCGATCTCTCTTATTCAGCAGCCTTCGAGCAGCCTCAATGCTAGGTTCATCCCTCGGCCGTCTATAGATACGCGTGCTGTATTGATCTGTGACGATGATGTCGAGATAGACCGTAGGTCGCTGGAATTCGCGTTCAAGGTGTGGAAATCCAATGCAGACAGTCTAGTCGGGGTGTTTCCGAGGTCGCACGATTTCGACCTGACGAGTAAAGGGTGGATGTACACTGTTCACCCGGATAAGTACTCGATCGTGTTGACAAAGTTTATGATGATGAAGCAAGATTACCTATTCGAGTACAGCTGCAGGGGAGGAAGGAAGATGGAGGAGATGAGGAAGATCGTCGACGAGATGGGTAACTGCGAGGATATACTGATGAATTTCGTAGCGGCTGACGAGACAAGAGCCGGGCCGGTGATGGTGGGAGCCGAGAGAGTTAGGGATTGGGGAGATCCACGTAACGAGGGAGGGGAATATCGGGACGGGGAGGAGGAGAGGGTGAGAGAAGTCGGGCTGAGCAGTAGAAGAAGGGAGCACAGGAAGAGGAGAGGGAGATGCATAAGGGAGTTTCATAGAGTCATGGGGAGAATGCCATTGAGGTATAGTTATGGTAAGGTGGTGAACTCTGTTGGGGAACAAGGGTTGTGTAATAAGGCCGGGAAGCTTGTGTTTTGCGATCAACGTTGATAAAACACTTGAAACCCTATATTCTAAGTATCCAACTCTCTAATCTCACTTTTTTTTTATAAAAAAAAAAACTCTCAAACACAAAAAAGAAAGGATGGGAAAAAAAAACTCTCATTCTCTGAAATTTTCTTCTATATCTCGAATGGAATGACCTTGTAGGAGGGACAAATCAGTCACGTGGCTGGCACGTGCGGGGTACGGAGGTGGACATCATCGTCACCAAGCTCATGTCGAGTTGTTGCTCCTTGTGCTTGAGCTGCTCTACGAGCAATGCCAAAGAAGCTTCGTCTTCGGCTCTTTCTGTGTAATAAATAATAATCATACGCTAATTAAAACACTTGCCAAAAAATTCCAGATTCGAAACATCTTAACGAGTAATTAGGAAATAGGTTTAAGAAGAGGTAATATGAGCCAACTCACGAGGTTCTTGTTGTAAACGAATCTCCCTTCCCTATCCCATTCTGCTTCACAAACTCCCCTTTTGTTTATTTTTTACCAACCAGAAAATGAAAATGAAAAATAATTATATATATATATATATATATATATTAAATTCACAAATACGTATACTTACACATTTACCATGTACAGATAAATAGTTATTACATTTATTTCCGATTAAATTTTTATGTGCCTCTTATACATTCTGCTCTTGTTATTGGACCAGAACCTGCATGCATGGTTCACAATATAACAAGGCGCATGGAGAGAGAGAGAGAGTGGAATGGATAAATAATGAGCAAGACATGTTTGTTCGTTTATGTTTTATATAACTCATGAATGTGCAACCGTTACTTGATTTCTTGGGTGGGTGAATTCGATAATTTTTGTTTTTTTTCATGATAGTGAACATCCAAAAAAAAAAAAAAAAAATCAAATGGAAACCCACCTTTGGGAGAACAATCCTTCCAAGGGACCCAACATCACTGTTCTTCAACTCCTTCGCCAACAAAACCCTAAGCTTCTATACACAATTCGATAATTAAAGAAACCCCCAAAGAAGCCATCAAGCAAAATAAACCATGTGCCAAGTAATCGGATTTATAAAAAAATAACTAGAGATTTATGATATAGAATTAATGAAATATTAGTTCTCATGACCCAAGCTTGGATGCCTAATGGTGAGAGAACATGCAAAGCATGCTCTCACCCTGTGTTTAAATCCAAGCGTGGGGAGGAATATTCAACTGGATTTTCCCGTTCCTCTGGAAGATGTAGTCGGGTCAAAGATCCGGTGAACATCCGGATTATCCAAAAAAAAAAAATTAGTTGTCATGGGTGATTTAGGATATGAAATTAATGAAAAATAATAGAAAACATGTGTTAGTTGCTGAGGCCACAGAAAGGCATTCTAATTTAAAAAAAAAAAATACAATGCAAATATATATCGTCATATATATATATATATATTTATTAAAGTTGGGATTTTCTTACTTAATAATTTTAAAATATAATTATTTATCTCTTAAATTATCATTAAATCTGTAAAAGCCAATATGGTAACATATATATAGCTTCTAATATCTGAATTTTGGATTACTTTACTTTTGTTATATTGAAATGGATTTTACTATTTATGATCATTTAATCCAATTTCTCTTATTTCCTTTTTTATGGTGAAAGTAACATGATTTAAAAATAGTAAAATGATAAATATAAAATTTTATTGAATTTTTGGAAAATCAATACGAATATTTAAAAGCGTAGAGTGGTACGATTTTATGTAAAACATAATGGGGTTCGGTTCGATTTTATGCGGATTCGGTTTATATCCATTTTGAGTTTTATATTTGAAGAGAAGATACGAAAAGGCCCATCATCATCTGAGGGGCCCAATACTGTCGGCCCATTTGATCTACCCCATGACGTGGCGACCTCAAACCCACGACGAACGAACAGCTGCGTTTTTCTCTTTATTTAAAAGCGAAATAATAGCAATAGTTTCCAATTAGAATCATAAATCTCATCGTCTTCTCTCCTAGGGTTTTCTTCGACGAATCGAAGGCGTCATTCGCAAACTCCACAATCTCTCCTCCGTTTCCGTCTCCGACATCAATGGCGTCGAAGAACACCGGCATCAATTATCAGCAGCAAAGACCCCGTCCGAGAAATGGGCCTCCTCCGCCGCGGCGAGGAGGGAGAAACTATGCTCCTGCGGCGGAGCGCCAGTATCAACCGCGGGAGCAGCAGCCTCAGCCGCATACGCATCCGCAGAACTTGCCGGAGAAGAGGAAGCCGGTGTTCGTCAAGGTGGATCAGCTGAAACCGGGCACGACCGGTCACACCTTGGCCGTTAAGGTGGTGGATCAGAAGACCGTCCTTCATAAGGGCGGATCCTCCGCCGCTCCTCAGCTCCGACAGGGGCGAATCTCCGAGTGTCTTGTCGGAGACGAGACTGGTACTATCCTCTTCACCGCTCGCAACGATCAAGGTGATACATTTGTTCCCATTTTTGTTCTTACCGGATTGATGCCCCGTTCATCGGTCTCGCTGAGCAAAAGACCTTATTTTTCGGCCTGAATTGATGATTTCTAAAAAAAGTTTCCGACGTCTGGGTCTTCAGTTGGTGCGAATTTTCATCTTGTCCTTGATGGGGGTTTTTAGTTGCTTACTATATATATCCTTTTCTTGTTAGTTTAGTTGATCTTCCTCATTCATGGTCTCTGTCAAGTTATCCTTTGATGATAGAACACAACAAGATTGCGAATTTATCTGTTGGTAGCTTGATACATGGTTAGAATTCTTCTCAAACTGATGAGAGGACTGGAAATAGTCCTCTACATTTGAATGGAGCTCTTGTTTTTGTTCTTGCTTGATCCCTACTTTCTTCTAGCAGCGTTCATATTTCTGGGGTTTGATTATCAATGGTGATTTTGATGGAAAACTCCACTCATGTATCATAAAGTTTTGAGTTTTGATGCTAAACATGAATCAATTTGCTACATGAGTCAATTGTAAAAGGTGTATTACCAGATGATACTCGTTTTTTATGGATAAATCTGTGTGTGGACAGTGGATGTGATGAAGCCAGGAACGACTGTAAACCTCAGGAACGCAAAGATAGACATGTTCAAGGGATCGATGAGGTTAGCGGTGGACAAATGGGGGCGGATCGAGGTGACTGAACCAGCAGAATTCACGGTGAAGGAGGACAACAACCTGTCCCTTGTGGAGTACGAGCTCGTCAATGTGGTCGAGGAGTGAATCAGATCGTCCATGTTCTTATTCGGTAGGGTGATTTTGTGGACGCCGCCGACGATTTTTCCGGTCTGCCACGGTGTGGCCCAGAAGGTATTTTATGTACTGCAACTGCAAGGTTCAATTCCAAGTTATTTGCATGGTGATGGGTGGTTTGATCATTTGGGTCACTGGTAAAATTTCAATGTCGGTGATGTTATTTTGGACGCACACTGTAATTTACTCTTTTTTGCCATTGCGGTGTCTGCCCTTTTTTTACCGGTGATGGAAAACACAGATTCTAGTTTAAAACCGAAGCATTGTTCAGCGTGGCCGTACAAGAAAGAACAAAAACATGTCTGTCTGTCTGTGTGTGTGTAAGAGAGGGGCACATCGACATCCTGCCATGAGATATTTCCCTTCTATTACGTACGGAAATATGTTGTATTGCAAAATCCGGTATTTTCATATCATGATTTGTGTTTAACTTAACCAGTGTTTAACTTTATGTATTGTAATCCCTTCATCACACTCGTAATAACGTTTAACTTTTTTTTTTAAAAAAATAATTGAATTCCTTGTTATTATTGAAAATAGATGCTGTTGGAACGATATGGAACATCTGACTTTTTAAATTCGGACGGATAACCCCGTAATTATCCAACCATGATTTCGATTAGCAGAAAACCGAATAGTGAAATCAAAGAGATGATGACTCCAACACATATTGCTGTTGGGGAGAAATTGTAAGGCGTAAAATCAACGAGCACAAAGAGCAAATGTATATATAAGGTTATGTGGCCCGACCATGAAAACGTTCACTTGGAGTTTTGCAGGTTGCAGATAGTAGATACACACACCTCTTTGTTTTTTCTTTCAGACATAACAGAAATGACGGCCTCATCAAAAGATTGCATGGAATGCTCCAACCCACCCTGAAATTCATCCATCTACAAAAACGAAAAAAAAGAAGAAGATATGCCAACACTGCATTAGATCTTGAAATGTTCACAGCAATCTAGAAGGAGAGATTGATGATCTTGAAATGGCGTGACCTAAGAAAAACATGATCAGTTTCAAAGAAAGAAGCTAGGGTCTACACAGACATGGAGATAAGTAGTAAAGGCATCTCAAGATCAGTTCAAAGAAGGAAGCTTCATTTGACCACCTTGTCTTAGACTGCATTTCTGAACTCCCCGAAATTCATCATACATCGTCATTGCAATCTGAGCGAATACACCATTATCAGTATGAATCTTATGCAGAGACAAAATGGAGGTTTTTGCTTTGGACTTGAATCTCAGGCGTTCAGAGAAAGAAAAACATCGAATTCCACCACAGAAAAAGGAATATAGCAGGACTCATGCGTATTCAATCATATATGTAGCTGCTGAAATGCATTTGGCTACTCGTGCATGACAGATCCTACCACAAGCAAGACAAGCAAATATCATCTCAAGTTTTTCTGGTGTGACAACAGCAGATCTTTAGAAGAGTGCCTAAGGACTGTTCTAGTTCAAAAACCTATTGGCCCATCAAGTTTCTTGTTTGATTTAAAGACCTATCTCCAGAGAAGTTTAAATTGACTCACATCATTCTTGTTGATGGATCTTCATCTAGTCTCGTCTTGCCCTACAAAGGAAAAAGTTGATTCTTCTCATTGTATGCAATTGCAAGACACAGGGAAAGCTATGCTTTAGGCTTTTATACTGAAGCAGTAAATTCTCCAACTCCAAGTCAATCCAACTTTTAGGGTAATAGTAGGAAAAGTAGAGAATTGCAGATGGAAGCACAATTTTAAGGGATTTAGACTTCAGATCACTAGAGCATCGAGCATTTTTTTAGCCCATGAGGATCACAATACACATCCTAGTATAGTGTCAACAATTTTCCTCGAAAAAATCACGCAGGAAAACAAAACGAATATTGATTTTACAGGAAATCCTTGATAAATACGAAACAGGTTATTCATCAACAATGCCCAACCATAGAAAACTTTAATTTGCTCCTAGTGCAAACTTTTCCATCAAAAGGTGCCCAACAAGGGTAGAATTAACACGAATGTGACCATGAAACCAACAACATAAGCATCACACAGCAACTGTAAGCCTATATGGTATGCAAAATAAAAGAATTATTGCTAAACCTATATGCAGATTGCAGAATCTACAGGCAAATAGTGAGAAGTCAGACCAAGTAATAGACAAGAATAACATACCACAGAAGAAGATGATGGCTATATTATATGCAAGTGCAACAAACAAAAAAAAGGTCTCTACAGAATCTAAATCATCACATCATAGTTACTGGTCTGTCTCCGCCAATCCATGAATCAAGGGTTTAACCGAAAACCCAATTGTAAAAGAAAATTCATTAAGTTTCATCAAGGATTGCAAGACTTGCAAAACACATAGATGAGGAAACACACTCTTTTTACACAACTATTCGCACCGTTCAATTCTAACGTGATTGCCACTAAGACCAAAGTAAGAGCAGAGAACAACGAGAAGAACCAAGCGGGGGAAGTACCTTCGGGGGTCCAACAGGAACGGCGAGAAACCGAAAGCATCGAATTGAGCAACGCTGACGCAGTGGCCGTGTGGTACGGCATCATCGTCTCCACGCAGCAGCTCATCTCCACTGGAGATCTTCATTTTACCAAACAAAAAAAAAAGTCAGAATCCAAAATCCAATTAGCTACGGCATGACTACACTCTCAGATCCTCACAGAGATGGCTCTCGGCATCTGAAGATTTTCACCTGAAAATGCGGTGAGAGAGAGGGCTCCGTTTGGGTACACGGAACGGGGACTGCGCCGACGCCGGCGAATGCTTCGCAGCGGCGGAGAATCTGGAAGCAGCGGCAGATGCTCGGCCTGCGGCGGAGCGGAGAACGGATCTGGCGGCGGACATCGAAGCTTCTGATTTGGTGATTTCCCTTTGGATTTCTAGAGAGGAAAAATGGATTTTATTTTCCGGAGATTTTGGGGTTTAGGGTTTTGGAGCTCGTGGAGGGAGTTGTAGCATACGGGCGCTCATACAGAGCGCTTTAGAGATTGTTATCTGTTATTGCGACACGTGGCAAAATATTCCTGTAATAAAAGTTTTTTAAAGGAGAGAGAAGCAAATAAAAATGAAAAAAACAAGGAGAAGTCGAAAACTCGAGGGGCGTTTGGATCAGAAAGCTTCGTATACACATAAACGGCATAAACACACATAGGCACGCGATCCGCTGTAGAACAAGTTCCAAACTTTTCTACTTCTCTTTATGAAAAAACGACATTTAATTTAATTATTTTCGTAAAGGAACCGACTTTAAATTAGGGGTAATATGGAAGATGAAATTGAGATGAGTGGTACAAGTCCTGTTGTTTTTCCTTTTTGGTTTTTATTTTTTACGTTTTTTCGCGATAATTTTGTTATAGAGGGCAAAGGAAAAGGGATCATTGGGTTTGTTTGTTTGTTCGTTCATTGGTTCTTTTCTCTGGGATAAAGAAACCCTAGATTTTGCTCTCGTATTCGATTGTTCTGGGTCGTGGCGGCTTCTGGGTTTCTGTCTTCTCTGTTCAAGCTCTGAAATTCTTACTGGGTTTTCAATGGGTATTGGTTCTGATGGAGAGAATCAGATCACGAGCGGTGGTAACGGCAAAAGGAAGATCGAGAATGCGAACGACGGTCTGGCCAAGCCCAAGCGGCAGATGAAGACTCCGTTTCAGCTGGAAACCCTGGAGAAAGTTTATGCAGGTTTGTTCATCAGTTCCTTGTTCTGATAATCTGATTGGTGTGCGTTTTTCGAGTAATTGGAATTTGGTATGAATTCTGGTGCTCTGTTGTGATTTTTCTATCATTTTTCGTCGGTTTGATCAGTGGAAACGTATCCGTCTGAGGCTACGAGAGCAGAGCTGTCTGAGAAATTAGGTTTGTCGGATCGGCAGCTGCAGATGTGGTTCTGCCATAGAAGGTTGAAGGACAAGAAGGATGTCCCGTCCAAGAAGCAGAGGAAACCCGCTGAGGTTCGACCGCCAGTTAATGAACTGCCGATTGAACCGGTTCCTGAGATGGACTCGGGATCCGGTTCGGGTTCTGGGCCGGGTTACAGCCCTTATTCCGAGTCCCGGAAGAATTTTGCCAGCGTTAGTAGTAGTTTGGAAGACTATAATAAGCCAATGGGAAGAAGAACCTATGAGCCGAGGATGTCTATGGTGGAGCGTAGAGCTATTGCCTGTGTTGAGGCACAGTTAGGGGAGCCCTTGAGGGAAGATGGGCCGGTTCTCGGGATGGAGTTTGATCCACTACCCCCCGATGCATTCGGAACACCTATAGGTATATTGCATTTTTTTGCTTTCGGTAGATTGTTATTGCATTCAGGTCATTAACTATTTATGAGACTGTTTTAGATGTCAACCAGAAGGTAATTAATGTCCTAATGTGATGGTTCTAGTTTTCTGAGACATCCAATCGTGCAGTTCTGTGTTTACTTTATGAGATAATTTAGATATCCCGTGTTCGAATTGTCCTGAATTGAATTTTCGGTCCCTCTGAACTGATCTTCTCTGATATGTACCAACTCTTCCAGAGATGCAGAAGCGCTCGGTTCATCCATACGAAAGCAAAATATATGAGCCTCACGATGCCAGATCTTCCCGAGTTAGTTTTCTGACTAAAGCAAATTGCTCGTCTGTTTTATTTCTGTTTCTAGGTATTTGTCTTTGTCCATGTTGATAGCCAAACCTAAATCAGATATTCACTTTATATTTTAGGTATAGGTCCTTTATTCTTGAATCTTGATGAATTCTGTGTTCGGTTACTGTGTCATGCTACATTGAGAATTTCTACAAATTGTTTAGCTGGGATCTTGCTCCCTTTTTTATTAGCTAACATCAGTTACAAGAGATTCTATAAATTGCTCTATCACGTTTAGTTTAGGTAGGAAATTCGTTAAACTTTTCAGTTTTCTCTGCTTATGGGTTTGATGATTCAGCCTGATCTGTTTAGTCTGTTTTCTTTTGTCAGTGACAGAATTGCATGGTTATTTTATTCCTTGTTAGCTGTGGTTCATGTGTAGACATTTTCATATGATTTGCTAGTTGTTGTGTGGCTGAAATTATTTTGTCCGTTATCCGTTCCGTGCATGAGCAGCAATCTCTGGATGATCCGTCGCCCTTTAGACCAGAGGTGTGTGGACGATATTCTGACATCCGTACTCATGGTATGGATTACGACATCACACCTACTAGAAGTTCATCATTTCTGCATGGGAATGGACCTTTACCCATGTCTCATGGTATCCATGGAAATGCATCTCGTAAACACTCTGCATCTCGGCAAGCCATGCCAAGCCCGTTTACTCCAACATCTATTGATGATGATAATGACCTGCTAGAGAAAGGGACATTTGACCTGGGGACAGAAGATCCTTATAGTGATGTACGTAGGAAGGGAAAGGTAGCTTTTGGTGCCGATGTCTATTTCTTCCTTTTCCTTTTCATTTTGTACTTTTCTTTGAATGTTATCCTGTCTGCTCATGCAGATTGATGAAGTTAGATTTCCAAGGGAAAGTGAAACCCGAGATAGTTGTGCACAAAAAGAGCTTGAGAGACTGGAAATTCAGAGAAGAAGGGTACTTTCCCCCCCACTTGTCAGTCTGCTAACAATTTATTAAATGGGATCTTGTTCTTATGCCTTATAATCTCCCTGTGATATTCATTGATAATCTAAAGCTTGTATCCTCAGAATGAAGAACGCATGAGAAAAGAAATGGAAAGACATGAGCGCGAGAGGCGTAAAGAAGAAGGGAGGCTAATACGTGAAAGACTAAGAGAAGAGGAGAGGTCACAGCGTGAACAGAGACGTGAAATGGAAAGAAGAGAGAAGTTCTTACAGAAAGAATCTGAAAGGGTAAGTTTTTGAGGACTGTATCAGTTACTCTACCGCATATTTAGGAAGTTCTACAATATTGAGCATGTTTTTTGACATCTTGTATGGAAAACGAAAATGTGTCTTTCTGTTGTGTTGTTTAAAGGCGGAGAAAAAGAGGCAAAAAGAAGAGCTTCGACTAGAGAAAGAAGCAATGAGACGCAAGATTGCCATTGAAAAGGCAACTGCACGCAGAATTGCTAAAGAATCAATGGATCTAATTGAGGATGAGCAGCTAGAACTGATGGAACTGGCTGCTGCCAGCAAAGGAGTGCCCTCAATATTACAGCTTAATCATGAGACACTGGAAAACCTTGAACTGTTTAGAGGTAATGGTCTCTTTATAAAGCATTGAACTACTTCAGCTAATAATGGGTTTTGTAGTCAAGAGTTCTACGGTCGATTTAAGCTAGCAAATAATTACAATAGAACAATTCGTACTTCGTGGATCGATTTGGTAATTTGAGTTAGTCATTCCTAATCCTTTTCTGAGTTTTTGGCGCAGCTTTATTTTTTTTGGGTCTTGCTATGCTGTGTTTGATATTTGGTAGAGACTGATCATTCTGTCTGGCCTAGTCTGCTATCTTCTGAAGAAAATGTAGCTTGTAGAACTCTAGGAATAAAATTTCGGTAGAAAATTTCTATAATTCTCATTCAGTCCTAACAACATTTGTGGTTGATTGGTCTAGTTCTCTCTTGAAAGATACTAATATTCCTTTATTGTTTATCAAAACCAAAATTTTCAGTCATTTGCTCATAAATTGCATTACCTATTACCTTCGGCAATTTGTGTACTATTCTCTTACCAGATCTGAGGTAAATAATTCTGTTTTATTTTTACAGATTCTCTGAGCACATTTCCTGCGACATCTGTGCAACTGAAAAGGCCGTCTGCCATTTCACCATGGAAGGATTCTGAAGAAAATGTTGGGAACCTTCTCATGGTATGCGTCAATGACTATTACTATATCTTCATGTCACTTCTCGTCTGGAGTCGATGTCTTCGCTAAATCTCAGGAAAAGATCTTTTAGCCAAAATGAGGATCATATGGATTTCAGTTTTTTTAATATGCATCTTTTTGTATAGCTGAGACGCTCGATATGGTAGAATTTAAAAATGCTGTCGCTAGTTTAGCTTATGTTTTCTGGGTCTCCTGCCATTTTTTGTTGTAACTATTTCATATCTCGTATCAAGAATTTCTTGTTTCAGATTCTAATATCATGTTTACTTTTCAGGTTTGGAGATTCCTAATATCTTTCACTGATGTTCTTGGACTATGGCCTTTTACCCTGGATGAGTTTGTTCGAGCTTTTCATGACTATGTAAGTCTTTGATTGTTTCTTCTGTTTGGGGTTCCCTGTTATCTCTTTCTGTTTTATCCTGTGTATGTGATATAGATCCTATATTAGGATTCAAGGTTGTTGGGGGAGATACATGTTGCTCTACTGAGATCAATAATACGGGATATTGAAGGTGTTGCTAGAACACCTTTTGCTGGGTCAGGAGTTAACCAATATACTGTAGCCAATCCTGAAGGTGGACACCCCCAGCTTGTTGAAGGGGTAAATTTCACTCTCTCTTTATGGTAGATCCTCTTCTCTTCCTGGGTTGCTTCCATGGGTCTTTAGTTTTCTCTATTCTCTTCTTTTCTCTCTGCTTCAGGCGTATGCATGGGGCTTTGATATTCGTAGTTGGCAAAAGCATTTAAATCCATTAACATGGCCTGAAATATTGCGGCAATTGGCACTCTCTGCTGGATTTGGGCCTAGGCTGAAGAAAAAAGGTTCAAGATTGATCTACACAGGAGACAAGGATGAGGTACTTATACATGCTTTTTGGCCATCAAATCCAAATGAACCTTGGTTGAGAATATCTATTTACTGCTATGCTGGGAAACAATATAAGCTTATAGTATCCAACAGTACTCAATATACTTGAGAAGAAACGAACCCAGCTCATGTGGTAATGATGTGTGACCCCCTCAATTTAGCTTTCGAGGATTGTTTCTGGTCTGCTCATCATTATGAGTTTGATCCTGAGTGACTTTCTTCTGAAAACACTGAGAAGAAACAGATGAGTATAGTTATTGTGTGATAACTGTCTAGTCTACTGGTAATTCCAAGATTCTGATCCTGAAGTAATTAAACTGTGTGTATTGAGGGGTTTAAAAAATTGTTTCCGTGGATGAAGTTCCTGGAAAATGTTGAGATATAGCAAATTATGCGCCGGCATTGACCTTTTCATGCTGTATTTGATTGAGATTTTGGCTTTTCATGTTTTCTCCCTAGTCTGTCTGGTAATGGTGATGGATAAACATACTCCTATTGTTTTTTTTTTGTGACGAATTATTGCTTGAAGGAGCTGTCTGTTACATCCATAGCCTATTTTGTGTATAAGAACCAAAAAATGAAATTGATGTGCTTTCCTTTTGGTTTGATTGACCACAGGTTAAAGCTTGTGAAGACATCATTTCTACTATCCGTAGTGGTTCAGC